ACTATTTGCTACATGAATGAAAATAAAGGATTGTGTTGTGGCTATAATGAACTCTGTTCTAATGCTTTTATACTTTATATTTTCACAATGTTATCAATTTTTAGTGTACTGCCAATGCTTTATAAGAAAATGTAATAATAACTAGCAATCTACCATCCAATAGATATATGGATTCTTAGCATTGCTCGAGGTTGTTATAACTTTTATTTCTTGTACAAACTAAACATAAACAAACACACATCATTGCCCTTTTGGTGTGCTTGTGTAAAAGCCTCGCATGTGTTATTGTCTACATCAAAGCGCCGATTTCATGTTTGCAGGGATCCGTCATCAGCACGGGATTGGTGGTCTCTGCAAAGTTACCAAGATTTTCTGATATTTATACTCTTAATATAGAGAGTGCAGATCCCAAGTCAATATCTGCAGGCAAACCAGTAGAGTTTACTAAAAGTGTTACCCAGTGGTATCTCTCCCTTTTCCTTTACATTGCTCTTTACTATCTGGTTTTTTAGCTATGTTACTCGGACTTTTCATATTTTTGAAAAATCAATGTCGGACCAAATACATTGATATATGAGTCATATATGCAAAAACTCAAGTGCCAGTTTCTGGCGTACTCAAGTAAAATATGCAATCCTTTTTCACATTTCTAATCTGTTGAGAGATATTGCAGGTTCACCGAGGATGGAGTACTGGTGGAGGGCCTATTCTGGAAAGATGCTGAAGCACTAATTGATGATTATCTAGCAGAACCGAAGAAAAAGAAGTGATCTAAGCAGTATGGTTTACGTTGATAGGCTACTTCGTTAAAACCGTGAATTCTGGCCTGCTGTGGCTTTGATATGGATTTTCACTATAATTATTGTTCTTTTCAATATATAGTAACTTTGCTGGAAAGATTAAGCCCACGATTTATATGGTTAGTCCTTAACGGAGAAATTTCGTTCACTCGGAATTATTTCAGCCACTAAACTACGAGTTATGTTAACGGCCTATTAAAACTTCACATTGAAAGATAAAAAACCAGAATGGTCTTTGTTATACTTTCCTTGGCTCTTCTCCTTTTGTCATTCTTCCGAAGTTCTTTGAAGCATTCAAAATTTTACATTCTCCGTAGTTTCATATCTTAAGTTCTCCCCTATCCTTTTCTTTGGCCCATCTCTTCTCCTCTAATCACCACTTACAGTTTTTCATCCAAACTAAAAAGGACGAATCGTAAAAACTCAATGCAACCATAGTTTCTCATATCAACAGTCTTCATAATTAAATTATAAATTATTTTTCTTCTATATAAAAACATTCCTCAGTCCCAAATCCAAAACTTGGCCATTGATTTCATTAATGCTACGTGAGTGTGCATTTGCATGTTGTACTTAGCCGAATAAACATCCCTAATGAATCGAATCGAATAGCATATCAGTGGACGAAAGAGCACAAACATAGCCTCGGGGAAGCATATATTATCCAACAAATTAACATCCGCATGGCCTTCGAGAATGAAAAGTGAGAAATGACCCATCGTACAAAGCAAGCCGAAAATAGTAATAATAATTAAGAAATAGTAAGTAATAAAATTAAGCAAAAAAAAAAGTTTCATTGGAAAGAATGATAATCAGAAGTTTACATTAAAGTCATCTCCAATAAGTTTAGATTTAACAATCCAAAAACGGCAAAACTTTCGAGATAATGTTCTGGAAAAAATTAATTCACGAGATAAAGCTCTCCCAAGATTAATTGCTCAAATAAGGTGAAATCCACAGTGTTGGTCATAGGTCGCTATGCCTTCCGGGCGACTTACTAGGTCGCCATGTCTTCCCGGCGAGCTACAAGAGGGCATCCGAGGCCATCCGACTGAGGCCATCCGACCGAGCCCATCTGAGAGCATCCGAGGCCATCCGACCGAGGCCATCCGAACGAGCTATGCGAGGGCATCCGAGGGCAACCGAGCAAGCTATGCGAGGGAATCCGAGGGAAGCCGAGCGAGGGTAGGTCGCCCGGAGGGCATGGCGACCTATGTGTTGGGACGTGCATGTGCCATGCAACACGTTCATTCTCACGTTCATTCTCTCTGTTTGAGCAAGGGTAGGTCGCCCGGAGTGCATGGCGACCTACAAGGTCGCCCGGAGTGCATGGCGACCTACGGTCAACACTGTGGATTTCACCCTATTTGAACAATTAATCTTGGGAGTACATTAGCTCGTGAATTAATTTCTTTCAGAACATTATCTCGAAAGTTTTGCCCCCAAAAACTATGCAGGAAATGTAAACCAACGCATTAACTTTATTAACATAAACCCTTGAAAATCCGTAGAAACTTGGACCATTTAAGCTACATGGCATCCTAAAATCATCCCATAAATGGCAATGTCATCAAGCAAAAGCAGCTACAAACTTAAGAATCTTCAACTGCCACTCCCTAAATCCCAATGAAATGGTCAAAATTCAGCAAAATCCCATGGAAGCAGATTCAACCAAGTGACAACAAGCCAATTTGAAAACAAAATGGCCACCAACCCACAATTCTTAGCCCCTATGGAGAACTCCACACTATATTTCATTTTCATCTTCTCGGATAATATACCCCATTTCCCCCCCTCTTTCATTGCTCCCTCCATAATGATCCATTAACTCATAAACATAAACCCCCGCCACTCCGTTTTTCTTCAACGGCGTTGCAGCTCCCGATTTCAAATGCCTAACCAACCCGTTTAAGTACTCCTCTGCGTAAACCCCATTTGCCTCAGCCTCACTTCCGCTGCTCGGCCACCCTGTTTCCGCCACGACCACCGGGATGTTCTCGTACCCCATCGCTTTCATGGCTGTTAACACTGCGTCTGCCATCATCGAGAACAAGCTGAAATACCTGATCCCAGTGACGAGATCGTCTCGGAAGTTGAAAGGGTTGTCTTGGAATAAAGCAAATCCGATTGGGATTTCGGTGTTGAGGTGAAAAATATTGTAGGGATAGAGGTTGATGAGAAAGGAGGAATTCGTTTGTTCCAAGAACCGGAGTACAGGTTTTATGATGAGGTCTCCGGCTGATTGTTTGAACACGGCGGAGGAAGGCGGGAAAGCGGTGGTGATTGTGGAGAAGAAAGCGAAAGTGGTGGAGATTCGGATTTTATTGATGCCGTTCTCTCGAAGTTCCCGGTGGAGGTTCCTCATTGCCGGAAGAAGGAAAGGGGAGAAGTCTTCTACGTTTGTGGAATTGCGCACTGTGTTGCCGACAGAGATGAGGGAGATTTTGGAACGAGGGTAGAAAGGGAGGACATGGAGACGGAGCCAGCCGAGTGCGACGGAGCTGTTGGAGGCGAGAGCAGGGATGAGAGTGTTCGAGATGGAGAGGAAAAGGGAAGTGTTGGTGGATGAAAAAGCTTCAATGAGAGAAGGCTCTGGGTCTGGGAGGCGGACGCTGGTGATTTTGAGGGCGGAGATGGTGGATGAAATCTTGTCCGGTGGAGGAGGGACGGTGGTTGAGTAGGTGGTGGAAGGAGTGGAGTAGGTGATTCCGATGGAAGGGTGGGAGGAAGTGAAGTGGAGAAAGGAAAGGAGGAGCTTAAAGAAGAGAAAGGAAACCATTTTTCTCCGTTTGGGTAAATAAAAATGAGCACTGCGACTGTGAGGGAGAGTGCAGTTAGTTAAGTAATGGATGTGATGGGCGGGAAGTTTCAGTTATGGGTGTAGGAATTGTCTGTGGGACGATGTATGTTTGGTATTAATCAGAGCCGTTGATACCTATACCGTTTGAGTTATTTTGGAGTTGCAGTCGCTATTAGGACTCATCCCATTGGGTCTAATAAAAATTGGATCTAATTGTGGGCCTACTTCAATACACTTGCCTTCTGTGATTAATTTTCAATCACTTGTATTTTTCGAAAATCGTATTTATGGGTGAAAAAATTGAGATGTTTAAACATTGTATCTAAAAAATTTAATTAAAACACAATTATTTTATATGGAATTAATTTAAGGTTAAATTGTAATATTCACGATCTACGCAATTACTAATTAGACTATACAACTAAAGCTAAAAAACGTGATAGTCTTTTGTGCCTAAAAGCAAACAAAGGCCAAAGTTGTCAACTTTATTTAAAATTTAAAAGGGTAAACTACGTTTCTATCACTCCATTGTGAGAATATTCCTGTTTTAATCACTCAACTTTAAAAAAATTTCAATTTCATCGCTAAACTTTTTAATTATTCTTATTTTAATCACTTCATTATTAATTATTTAACATCGTTGTGACATGACATCTTTCTAATTTATGAAAAGCATCAAAACTCTTTTTCATTTTATGAAAAATCCTTATAATCTTTATGCTCGAAGTTTTAACTTGATTTTTTGAATTATTTTTAAGTTTTAGTTGCTAAAATATTTTCTTTTAAATCCTAATAGTAAGTAGGTGAATAATGAGAAGATGAGCAATATAACCTATTTTTGTGTTGATTGGACGATGGTGACAATAGATTAGAGTTTTTGTTTTCTAGACTTTGGGTTGGATATTTTAAAAAGATATTTGAAAAAGTAAAGTAATAAAGTGATAGAAAATAATGAGACAAGTTCGTAAATATTTAAAATAAATAGAAAAAATATTGAAGAATAATTTTTTTATGACAACGTGACATGTAAATGAAACAATAAAAGATTTTTTTGTTATGAAAATGATGAAATGAAAATAAAAAAAGGAAAAAGAAATTTTATATTACGATTGTTATGGTGTAGACACCTAAAGTTAACTTTGAGTATAGTTTAGACACTTAATTTTACATAATTTTTTTATTTAACGTTATAGTGAGTAAAGAATAATAATTCGAACGTTTTATGGTAAAATTAAAAATTTTAAAGATGAGTAATTGAAATAGGAATACGATAAATGTTTAGTGGTGAGATGCCAAGTTTACCCAATAGCAATAGCCACCGCTTTAGTTGAAACAAAGACGAGATAATAAAGGCCGCCCGCCGCCCCTTATTTTTTTCGTGGGGAACAAAATATTTTGTCTTATTTCTTTAAAAGTTTTAATCCAAATAATTTCTCAGTATTTCTGCTGCAAGAATCAGTTATTTTATTATCTTCATCCACTTCACAGCATCTGCTCGCTGCAACAAGTACCAAATTCCACCTCTTCTGTATGTTTGATCATTCTGTATTGGGCTTTTTTGTTGTATGTTCTTCAGATTAGATCAGCTAACTGAGCTTTGCATGTGGTTTTTGCTTTGTTCATGATTCTTCCTGAAGTCTCAGATTATGGGGTGTTGTTTCTGAGATTATGTTCAACTTTGCTCATAGTTTAGCTAGCCAATAATTGTTCAGTACATTGGATTTATGTTTTCCATAGACCGTCCTTAATGATGATTAACTGTTTCAAATCCCCCAAAATTGTAGAGCTATTCGGTGAATCTGACATGACTTATTATAAATTGTGTGTTTTGGTTGTTTGCTTTAGCATCTTTGAGCAGTTAATATCAGAAAATCTAAGTGAGAAATTGAATTCGAGCTCATCCCTGGAATTAGATAAAGAAGAGTAGTGTATCAAAGTTCCAAAATGTTAGAGCTAATTTCTTTTAATTTGATTCTGAATTGTGTGTTTTTGTTGTTTGGATCATGTTTGAGCAATTGTCATTGCTAAAAGAAAGGAAATCTAATTCAAGCCGATCCACTGAATTAGATAAAGAGCAGTACGGCTCTATCTAATTCAAATCCTAGAATGGGGATTCAGACCAGCTCTTTCCTCTTCAACTTATACCACCAACAAGCTTTAATGAAATTTGGGGATTCCATCTTGAATATGGATGCTGCTAAAACACTTGGCATTAATAATTCCCCCTCTCTTTGCTGTCCAAATGATAGTTTTTAGCATTTTAGATTTGATGCCTTGTTTACCTTGCCTTAACCCAATTTTAGCACTTGAGAAATTGTTTAGTATTTGCGTGGTTACCAAGTTCTTATTAAAGTTTAAGGCATATACTTTTTATCTGTTAAACTTGATAGGTTGATTTGTAAGATACATGGCAATGGATTATTCGAGCCATATATACAAGTTTCATGCTTGTATTTTAAGCTGATACATCCATAACTTTCGTTCTTACTAATTTTGCAAGGAATTGATTGACAATCAGAGTTACGAACCAAGGAATCGGCTTGGATTAATTTGTACTTGCACCGGTTGCTGGCATGGAATCTCAGTTAGTCATGCACAGTGGTGGTTGCCACTGCAGGAAAGTAAGGTGGCATGCCCGAGCACAGACTAGCATTGTTGCTTGGAAATGCAATTGTTCTGACTGCTCCATGAGGGGAAATATTCACTTTGTTGTCCCACGCGAAAGGTTTGAGCTTTTGGGAGATTCCGAGGAGTTCCTTACTACGTACACTTTCGGAACTCACATGGCGAAACATACCTTTTGTAAGGTTTGTGGAATAACCTCATTCTATACCCCGCGATCAAACCCGGATGGGATTGCTGTGACACTCAGATGTTTGGACCCTGGATCGCTTTCCCATGTCGAGATTCGACATGCTGATGGGAAGAATTGGGAGAAATTCTTCGAAGAGAGTGGCATTGCTTCAGAATCCAAAATTCGTTCCGCCTAGTAGCTGACTAGCTGGTAACATTTAATCTAGTCCACTTTGTAATGAACTCCATGAGTAGAATATTAGCAGGGTTTGATCCCTGTTTTTTTGGTAAGTCAAAAAAATGATTTACGGTCTGATTTTTTAAAAGTCATTTTCCGAACTTTTCACCTCAAAGAATAAATACTCAAAATAATTTTATTTTTTAAATTTAATATTAATAAAATATTTTAATATAATTTTAAGCAAAATATTAATTATTAAAATATTTAAAATATATTTATTAGTATTTCTAATAATATAATATTATATTTTTAATATTATAATAAAATAATCAATTATATTATAAAAATATAAGATATTATATTTTTATTTTAATAATATATAATAAATTATTAATAAAATTTATATTATTTATTAATTTCATAGAAATAATATTATTAAATTATTAATAATGAATAATATTATTGATATATTTAATATTAATATAATAATCTAATAATATTTTAATAAAGATATTTAAAATATACTAATTAATATTTTTAAAATATAATATAACACTATTACTTTAATAAATAATTAATATAATTTATAATATTTTATTTCAATAAAATATACCAATATTAATATTTTTATTAATAAAATTATAAAAATAATATTTTAATAATAAATAAATTATTTTAATATTTTAAAAGTAATAATATTAAGTTTTTTGATAAATAATATTATTTATTGTATTTAATATTTGTTATAAATAATTTTAAAAAAATTCATCAACTAGTAGAAAAAGTGTTTAAATAACATCTTTCAAACATCGTAAAACGTTTTCTAGAAAATGTCTTTCAAAAATGTAATTAATTTTACGGAAAATATTTTCCGGAAAACGTTTTCAGTAAAACAAACGAAAACTCAGTTGGAGCTTATTAATAAATTTTGGACACTTTTTTCTCTCCTGTTGTCTCAATTTAGTCTCAACTAAATCGAGTTATGAAGAGATTTTTAACGAGGTCTTTTTTTACCTTTAAAAAAATATAGTATAGGCGTTGGAGTAAAAAATAACAACAAAATTCATAAAACAAAAAAATATATAATCGAGGATAAAACGAATATAATCTATTTATATTGAATAAGAAGGGAACGATCTTATATTATTCTAATATTATAGATATTCAATATACTGTTATATCAAATACAACAAATACGCATATACTTCCCGTTTATCCGGTCGAACTTTTGTCGGCCGATGGGATCCCTTACCATATGTCTTGCTTCAAGTGCAGTCATTGCAAAGGGACACGGAAGGTAATGTCTTTTAGTTGCTTTCCATTATTTTCTGCTCATTTGTTCATTTAGATGAAAATATATGAAGTTATCTATTGCCAATTATTGCATCTTTGTTGAAGTTCTAAGCTCTTTTTACTCTGTTCATCGGTAGATTTTATGTTGATCTTAGTTCAAGTGTGTAAATCAATTGATGTTCTGGGGAATAACTCAGACACCATTCTGATCTTATTACAGTTTTTGTTTGAATCTTTGATGATTTATGAAGTCTCTGCATCTAACTTAGCAGAAATCGTCTCGTGAATTTCCAGTTGGGTAATTACTCCTCGATGGAAGGTGTCGTTTATTGCAAGCCTCATTTTGAGCAACTCTTCAAGTAATCCGGGAATTTCAACAAGAACTTCCAATCACGTATGTACTTTTCTCTCGGTTGATAGTATCGTTTATTCGGCTTCTTGATAGTTTTCGTTCTATTGGTTCTTAATTTGCTTTCCATTTTGTTGTCGGCAGCTGCAAAGTCAGCTGAGAAGTTAACTCTCGAGCTGGTAAAATTGCTTTTCCGATTAAATGCGAATAATTCGTTATAGAGTCTGATATAGGTTAGGACGTTAGGTTACTGGATATTCTTGCTGACTCCAAATAGCTCGTGTTAATTTCAGACAAGATCAGATAGCAAAGCTGCCGGCATGTTTTCCGGTACACAAGATAAATGCGCTACGTGTGGCAAAACAGCTTATCCACTCAGAAGGTAAAATTCAAGATATACATCATTGGATGAGAAATCTGAATCTTTTCTGCAAGTGTCAGGCTTCAGTTTTGCTCATTAGTGTAAATCCTATAATAGTTTCTTTATAGAAGCATGATTTGCTCAGCTCGGTTTTCCTTCTACATAGGGATAAGCATTCGATCGAATCGTGTCAAGTCAAAAAATTTCGGGTTATTCGAGTTGATGAGTCGTATTTTGTAGTTCGAACTTAACATGAATTTTTTTCAAGTGAGTCGAGTTTAAGAAATTCGAGTCGAGTTATTCAAGTTTCTAGACAAATTTTATTATAAAATTATATAGTATTATGGTAAGGATTGATTCCAATTTTTGATTTTCTCTAACCATATAATATATATATATATATATATAATCATATTCTTTTCATATTATAATGTTATTTATGTATCAAATATAATCTAAAATCAGAAAATATATTTTAAAGAAGATATTTTGAGGGTAAAGTATTGATTAGAGTATAAAAAAGTAAGAATTGATGAGAAGAAAGAATTTATAAACAATTGCAGTCAAAAGATCAAATTGAGTAAAATGCAAAGTTAATGAACTAAATAAAGAGAGTATATTTTAGTAAAAAAATATAAATTGAAGTTACATAGGTATTATTTAGTGGTGTAGGAGTATGTGGTTCAAATTTGGTAAAAAATAATTTAAAATGAATGAAAAATTGAAGGAATAAGGAAATCATGGACTAATTGTAAAATTGTCAAAATAGTCAGTCAAATTTTTTGTTTTTCGAGTAACTCGAAATTTCTAAATTTCAACTCGACTCAAACTCGAAAACTGAATCGATCAACTCGAATAACTCGAAATTGAAAAAAAAATGAATTTTCGAGTAGAGTCGAGTTTTGTTCACCCCTATTTCTACTGGATGATTTATCACATTGCTGTTATGAAGGAGAAGCATAATTAGATTTAGAGTTGTCCATGTTCCATTCGAAATAGTCGATTTGCTCGCATAAGGTGAGCATCTTCGTCCAGTTAGAATTTGATTCATTTCTCAGACATGGATAGATATAGAGATGCATACCGAATTTGAAGTGTTTCAGGACTCGGACTACAGTTTTGGGAAGAGGTCATATTGTTGGAGTTTATTAGAACTGTTATAATTTTTTTAATGTTAAAACCACATGAGTTGCAGCTATATCTGCTTATACATAGCTTGAAATGTCTTCATTGTTCGTGCATACGTAGATTTACTTATCTTTGTAATGGTTTAATATGACCAGTAGTTCATAGTAAAATGCGGATTCTTGTTGTCCAATGTTCCGGCAGGTAACAGTAGGACAGTCATACCACAAGTCATGTTTCAAGTGCTCTCATGGTGGCTGACTGGCTGCCCTATAAGTCCATCAAATTATGCGGCACTTGAAAGCATCTTGTATTGCAAACATCACTTTTCCCAACTTTTCAAGGAGAAGGGAAGCTACAATCACCTCATCAAATCTGCATCTATGAAGCAGCCACTCTTTCCTCATGATTTCCGGTGTGTTTCATTTATGTTTACCGGAGAACCGAAATTAAAACAAAAAACCGGGTTCCAATATATGTTTCGGTTCCGCTGATGAACCAGCGTATATGTTTGCGACATTTAATTATATGGTATTGTGATTATTCCGCATTCCCCAAGTTGTAAAAACGACCATTGTCTACGTTTAACTTGAAATTTAACAAGGATTGGGGAAATTATGGTTTACTATAGTTCTCACAATGTTGAATGAATCTATGGTGATGAAAATGAAATGGTCTATCATGAATATTTGCTGGGAAAAAATAGCCAATACCATGTAGTTTTTATACATGCATGCATGAAATCCATACAAACATGGATAATATAATATATATATACATACACACAACTATCCGTAGCTACCAGCATATGAATCAACATGGCAGCATTGATCGCATCGTACCTACATACATACATAATTGCAAGCATATAAAACACTATGGTAAGGCATTAAACCACAAAACGGTAAACTTAGTGAACTTTTTCTCCATTAAATCAAATATTAGAAAGTAAATAACAAATGGATGTAAAGAACAATGCTACTACTTTTGTCTTGAAGAATAAAAAACATAAAAATGACATTTTCCTCTACGACCCCGACCTACCAACCAGTCACTTATTGGAGTTACCTAGTTTTTTTTTTTTACTAATCCTGCAGTCGATTCTAATACACAAAAGAAAGATCTGCTTCTCAGGCTTCTAGGGGATTAAAAAATTGAATCTAACATGGCATATACTTGCCTAATTGGATGTTGTCACTGTCCTCACAAGGAAACAAATTATACGAACGGTTGCATGCATACCCTGTCAGCAGGATGATGTCTCATTTGCTACTTCGTTTCTTGGCTTCACCATAGAGTAAAACCCCAAAGACTGTGAGTGTATAACCAAGCATTCCAGTAACGGACACTGGATTTCTAAAAATTAAAATCGAAACCACCACAGCGACAGTTCCTTTCGCGTTTCCTAGAACCTGCGATTGAAAATATCACAGTACTCAAAAAAGCTGAGGACTAATTTGATCATTTATCTGGTAAGTTATTAAATAACCATGCAAGTTTTTATGTACAACTGAAAGATGGGTAGAATTCATAATCATAGGGGTTTGAGTTCGAAGTTTCGGTGAATCACTTTCTTGTTTAATCTTTCTCAACAAGTGTACTTATTCGGCTTAAAGGTCGTATACCACAGAAGAGATATAAACTGTTCATCATATTCTTTATGAAAAAGGGAACAAAATAAACGTTGCAAGTTTCATAAAGTCTGACAACGGAAAAATGACGTTGAGAAAAGGCTGCCAACAAGGATCATGCATGTCATACCTGTAAAGTGAGGGCGCTGGTGTGTTTCGTGACCAAAAAGTTGGTTAAATTTACAAAAATATGCTAGTGCCGAATTGAATAAGAGATACCAAATGATCTTGATATCATCTCGGGCAAAGACAAGGTGATACCAATCATGTTTTCTTCCATAATGAGTGTTGCATGAAGTAGAAACACAACAGCTATAGGAGCCATGTACAGGAGGAGGTTCATGGAATTCAGTCTCTCTCTAAATAAAACCCAAAAAAATGTCAGTATCTTGTAACTAATGTAAACGTATACAAATTATGCCATCAACCACAATGCATAAGCAAAAGTGTAAAATATTCCTCACCCTTCAGAAGAAAGCAAAATTCCTTGTAAGACCGACTTGAGAGCTCTTGCAGATGTAGCTGAAACGCACATGATAAAACCAAATAAATGAAAATTCGGTTCACTTTGCGCCACATATGAAAAAAATGAACAATCATAAAACAGATTAATTAAACAAAGTAAACAATGTGAGTAAAGCAGAATGGAAATTTCGAATATGTACTTATAAAACAAAGAAATTTGAAGGTTTTTGAAATTAAATAGGAGGCGGAATTCGAGACCAAGAATAAGATAATCAACTAATGCAATCATTACCGTTGAGAAACCTACAAATTCAGCTAAAAATCACGGCATAAACAATATATCCAGTTTCAAACCTTGCAGTTCATTTCCTTTCCATTCTATATTCTCAAGTACCAAATCGAGCTTAAAGCAAATACTTAGATTCATAATTCCAACTTCAATAAAATGCAACCCTTCATCTAGTAATGGATACTTTAGGCTGCCATGAAGCTCTCATCTCAATTTTCACATCAAAATGGCTTTAAGACCATATAAAACAAACATAATTCAGTGAATTAAAACGAATGCTTTCCAAATTTCCTTCAAATCCTCCACAAATAAAAGGTGGGCTGATTTTTGCATTATCTTATAACAAATACAGCAAACCAATTTCCACATTCCAATCAAATCCTCCATAAATTCCCTAGAAAAAATAAATAAATAAATAAAAGCAACCATCTCCATTAACCAATTAAAATATAAAACCGAAAAAATTAGCAAGCAGAGCAACACAAATTTCAACAAAATAAAGCAAAACCCATTTCCAAATAACAACGGGAATAAGGGTAATAAAAGTAAGCCGAGCCTCCCTCTTCAATGTCATCAAATAAGCGAAAATTGCTGTGAAAAACGACATCGTAGCCCCAACACACAAAAGACCAAATTCAAAGCCGAGATCTTAAGAAACTGACCTGCATGTGACCATCTTCATCCATGCAACTGCGATGTAGCTTAGCAAAGAACACGGTGACACATGATTAAGAAAATTGGGTATTTGAAACTATAATTGCTGAGTAAATATTTGTTCAACAACAGGGAGGCTATTAGCCCGAGGGTGAACAGTTTGGAATTGCTTTTCATGGCATTTTCTTGGGACTTGAAGATTTAGGTATCTTTATTTGGAGGGGGCCTTTGGGAAAATAGTATGGGTTATTTTGGTGGAAAAGAAGGATGGCTTTGGGATGATTTGATGGAATTAGCTTCCATGGATCTGGTTCGAGTTTGTCAATTAGGAAATCAAGGAACTCCAAAGAGAAGAGAATTCAGAAATTTGACTTCGTAAAAGAACAAATATTCGGATTTCGAGGAAGACCAAATGAAAACAACGTGGCTGCCTCTCTGCATATTTCTCTGGAGAAGAAACGTCTTTTGTGTTTTGTTTTGTTTCTGATAATATCACCTACATACAACTGTTTCATGAATTTAATATGAAAAAAGTATGTCTATGTATCAAAATTTATACCATCAATTACCATCTTTAAAATGAATGGATTTAGAACTTACGGAATGGATTATATGGTTAAAGAAAATGTCATTCTATTTATAGGTGATAGGTTATGAGTAGTAATTGTATAGTGTAGGTATAATATAATATAATATATTATGAAACAAATTAAATTAAGAGGCTGTCCTTTTCTTTTACTGTATCTGATCCTAATTAATCGATTAATAAATTAAAAATCGATGATCATAGAAAAAAAATATTATAATTATCTAATACTATTTATTAAAAGAATCTTATTTTATTAGTGATAACTCCGTAAAAGGTCGTATTTTGGAACCTTTTCACTTAAATTATTGAATGTTTAAGAGCTCATTTAGGACCATGTATATGCATTTAGAAGCATTTAGTTGCATGTGGTGGAATTCAACTTGTCGTGGCATTTTATTTTTTTAAAGCGGTGATGCCTTATGGGAAAGGTGTTTGTCTGATGATGTGCAGGAACTGAGAGCAAGGAAAAGAGGAAAAAAAATGCCGAGACATCATGAGAATGCTGAGCATAATGAAAATGCCAAGTTCGGCTGGCATTTCGAAAACGAGCAAAGTGCGAGAAGATATTTTTAAGCCAGTTGTATCCTACTTTTCAAGAAGCTCTGCCCGAGAAATCTACCTCGAATATCTGTCTGGAGGGATCGGTTCTGCTGATGACATCGCCTGCCCCTGCAGATCATGTCTGTCCTTGGGCGCCTACAACGGGATTATGCCGGTCATTTAGCCAGCTACCCAGGCTGTATCATAGACTGTTCTGCCCGACTCTCAAGCAACTTAACCATGATTTTGGGGTTTCCTACGAAAGTCAACACCAAGTCTTAGGATTAATTTTCCCCTATAAATAGATGATGAAGCCACAATGTTAGAGACTTTAGTTTCACCCAGATTTGAGCTTAAAAAGTTAAAGAGAGAAGGTCTCACTTTTCTCAGTCAATCCTACTTGCCGTGACATTTCTCCTTGGCAAGCCTGAGGGAGTGGCGTTCTAAGCTTCCGAGAGGAGCTAATTCGCTAGGGACAGTTCTTGGTGGTCGAGGGAGGCAGCAGGCAATGCACGTCGAAGGCTTTCTCTCATCCCCTTAGTTATTTGCTTTCATATTTTGTTATTGGGTTATAAGGAACGAATGAAACTTGATTTGTGCTTGTTTATTTCGATCCCCACCATGAACTAATCATATTTTGTGAGAGTTTGCTTGGATGTTTAAGTTTTTATTTCAATGAATGGTTGTTTTTCTATGCTTCAATCTGTTTTATTTATGAAACTTAATGCCTTAAGGTTGTAGGAGCTACGAGAGTAGCCTTTTCTTAGGAAGTTTTTAGGGTTCGAGAGAATACATTGACAAAATATCCTTAGTATTCGAGAGAAACTAGGGAGGAACTACATAAACAAGAGGTTCTAGGTAGTAACTAGGCCTAATCCACTTTAGAGATAAGGTTAGGATTTCATTCGACTAAAATGAGTTGTGCAAGAACGATAGGTTAGACGTTAATGCTGCCGCAAAAAGGTATTGCCGAGACATATCATGTTATCTGGACCAATAGGATCACTGCAGGGGTTTACGCCAATCGATTTTCCCAGGACATCTTTAATTTGTCGAGTCCCTTACTAGAGATAGCATAGGGCACCTTAGTAAACTCTGTCAGGCAGGCTAGGCATAGAAGAAATATCATTCAGAGAAATAGACTTAGATTTTCCTAGCGACTCCTGTCACTCATTCCCATAGCAGCTTGTCGTGTGAAAAAGCTAAAGTCCTACATTTTAAATCCAGTATTTACAATTTATTTTGCCTTGACATTTCCATTTGTTTGCATTCATCACAATTTAAATTGCCCCGATATATTCAATTGCTACCACACTACCACCATTCGATTTCCACATCAGTCATTCCATTTTGTCATAGCATTTCCATTTGTACATACCATCACTAACTTTACTTAGGTGACAAAGTACATTGACGAACTTATTTGATTTCCCCAATTCCATGTGGAGACGATACTCAACTTATCACTGTATTACTTGTTCGATTGTGTATACTTGCACATATATCCGCACTCATTTATAGTACTCATACTGAGAGGACAATTAGATATATAAATAATTTTAAAATTTGTTACTTATTAAACAATTATCATATACTTTGATCGATATCAAGAAAACGAAAACAAATAAAAGTAAAATATTAACAATTTAGATTTAGAGATTATTATCAACACATCATAGTAGAACTGTTGTAATTAGTAGTGTACTTATTATTATTCATAAATATAAATTCACTTCTGTTAAAAGATAAGCATAAATTTAATTAACATGTATTGTTTTTTTAGGGCTATTGTACTTTAGTATTTCTTTTTTATATACTTTTAATAAATGAAGTACTTTAATTTTGTTTTGGGTTGCTTGAAATGTATGACATAAGAAGGGACTTTTGAATTGTAAAAAGGAGAAAATTTTGTAGAACGTTTTAAAAAGATCTTTTGATGGTGGCAAAGTGATTTTATAGGGAAAGAAATGATGAGATGATTTTGTTAAGGTTGTTCAATTTTTTAAAAAAATGAGTGATCAAAATCGCACACCTAATTATGATAAACGAGTCTTCCAACGAAAATTCTATATATACACAAAAACTCTTACATAAATTTATTTGAAAATACATAATTCGTTAAGATTCATACTTGTTATCTAAATACAAAATTTTGAAATTTGTAGGATTGTACCTTTATATATATATACATACATATATATTGTGGGGTGAGATCTTGAAAGATGTTATTCATATTAAATAATTTTAGATAAAGTAAATAAATAATTTATGACTATAGTACACTATTTTGTTTAGTACTATAGTACACTTTTTGTTTAGTATCTATCTATTATAAGTTATAATATGATCCTCAATTATATGAGCTTATTCTATTGAATTCTTCAATTATTAAAAATCATAAATCATAAAATTATCATTTACTTAATCGTATATTCTAAATTCATCATCTTTCTCTATTAAAAAATTAACTGTATAAATTAAACATTAACAAATTAATTAAAATATAATAAATTTTAACCCCAAAATCGTTTAAACCATATTTTATAATCAGATTCTCCATTTATATTATACCATCAAGCTTATATTTAAAATATTATATCATCAAACCAATGCTTAAAAACAATATTGGTACCATAGACATCATTAAAATATGTTTTTATTATATCATAATTAGTAAGTTAAACCCCTAGCACACCATTTTATATCTTTTAATAGTCAGAAGACTCAACAAAACAATATCATATAATTGAACATTTTACAACTTTTAATAACCAAAAGACTCGACAAAATATCATCATGTAGTCAGCGGACACATTTGTGTCCTCTACACAATATTTTAGTTGTGAACCAAGAGTACCCTTAAAAAATTTAAATAATAAGTGTATTTTTTTAAAATATGTTTGGAGAAAAATTGAGTAAAATTAACCCTAACCATGCAAAAAGGAAAAAGCTAAGGATAAAGAAGTTTGGCGCAATATTAGGTCCACATGCAACCTTTAATTATTTACAATTAAATCCTAAGATCGTAGCAACCTGCCTCCGATGTGAAGTGAATTTCAACTGCTACTTGTTTTCTTGCATGCTCTATTTTTCGATGGGTCATCGAGTCAACATTGACATCAGCTTAATTACATTGCAAAGCTACTCGATATTAAGATGGAATTAAGCAAGTCAATCATTTAAAACAAGTAATCAAAACTACAAATTCATGATGCAAATAGGTGGAAAAAAATACTTGATAGAAATATCTTAAGAGAATGCTTTCTCTCATCAATCCACCATCCTAAAGAACAAAATGACAGATTCAAAGCACAAAAATCTTGACAAAGTTCATGCCAACAAAGTGAAAATGCAAAGCCACTTTAATCTTAGAACTCTGTCACGGATCCACACTACTGCAAGCAGAGAACAAATACAAACAATAGTGGCCATAAACATAGATTTGCAAAAACAAACTGTTCCGAAATCTACATGAAACTATTCATATATAGTTATCATAATGTTCAGAAAAGCTAGAATCCATTTTAAAACAACAGCTTAATATCACTAAATTAACAAGGCAAACAAAAGTTTTTGACAAATACAAAAAATCAACATCAATAAACATACTAAAAGATCACTGTCAACCATAATAATGATCAAGATTGCAAAGGCAAAAAAGCAACATATAGAGCTATGACAACCAAGAAAAATTAGATACAACACAAAAAATCTATATCTGGGACAATTTGCGTTTTCAATTTTCCAGTTCAGTCCGTTTGGGTTAACGGGTTCAATTAAAATCAAACAGTAAACTCATAAACCCAGAAGACAACCATGAAATATCATAAACTGGTAAGTGAAGATTACCTCATATATTGCTGGGGTACATGAAGACTCTGACTCTATCTCCCTGCAAAGGAACCAAAATACACAAGTAAAATCGAAAGCAGAAATGTCCGAAACTTGTAAAATAGCAACAATATTGAACATGTACCATAGATTTGGGGGGAAGGTTAGATTTGAACTTGGCACGAACAACCCCACTGTTACCATGGGGTCTAGCAACCTTTCCCCAAATGCATCGATAGTGTGAGCCATTCTTCTTCACTTTAGCCTTGTAAATATAAGCCATGCGCTTACCAGCATACCAAGCTACTTCCCCCTTGGTGTTAACTCCCTCAATTTGGATCAACGAAGTGTTTGGATACTGGTTCGACTTTGACCTAACACCCACCACCGAACAAATCATAAGCACCAACACACACAAACACAAAAGGAACTCCAATATCAATATCAAGTTCTTCCACTCAGTTCAACATTTAAAAGACCATACAAGGAAATTTAACAAAGTGAATCAACTAATTTAACTAATACATTAATCAAATATTGAATCTCATTCAATAAATTACTCTAATCTCCCTCCCCCACAAAGAAAAGACGCTTAAATCAGGAAAATGGAAACGGATAAGATCACGTAAAATAGGTTAAAGTCTTTGTTACCTCTTGTAACCCAAGATGGTTCCTCGTACATAGAGTCTGCATGAAAAATATCAATGAAAATGAAAACGGGTAAAACTATATTCCATATATTAAAACCCGGAATTGAAAAACGTTAAGACTTTTTAAAAGATGAAAAGGTACCTGACTCTCTCTCCTTGGCGTCCCTTCACCATTTCCTCCTATTTTGAAGCTGTAGCTAAGTCCTTTCGCTCCTGATAAAGGCGAGTGCAAGAGAGAACATAACCCTAATTAGGTTTTGGGAAATTTATAGAAAGTGGCTGAAGGTTGTAGATGGTAAATTCGACGTATGAGCTTCTAGGAGATCTTTTTTGGGCCTTCTTTCTAACTATTAAAGGGAATTTTTCTAGACCAAGGAATAATTAAGCCTAGCAACTATAATTGCATCGACACTTATACCTGTACAAAAAAAATTGTTTGAGGATTCGGGCCATGGCAGAAAGTACAATATTCGGGTGGAGATGTTATGTTGACCCATTCGTTTATTCAGAACATGACTAACGATTTACCCGAGAGGATACAACGTGGTGATGAAGAGATATGGTTTCATTTTCTTCCGGCGAATACTTGTTTTGGGCGGGAGGAGTTTTGCTTAATCACTGGTCTACGCTTCGGACACAATGATGTAGCTCGGTACACTAGTCATATCGCCCGCCCATCATGGTTATCTCGGGTTTTTCCTGAGCTGGCAAAGGCGAAGCCTAGTTTACACGTCGACAACTTGAAGAGATTATTTGTTAAAAATGGTTTTACTCGGATGGATGACCTCGATGTTGTCAGAGTATGTCATTTATTACTTTTGTATGCCGACTTTTTAGGCAAAGAGGTCAGACAACCTATTTCTGATGACCTAATATTATCGATAGAGGACCTAATTGCATGTAACATGTTTCCGTGGGGTTCATATCTATGGAAAGCTACCTGGAAAAAGTTCTCGTCTGCCTTTGAGGACCGAAAAAGTTTGTGTGGCCATGGTTCTAAATACACTTTGGCAGGCTTTATTTGGGCCTTTAAGGTAAGAATTTCTATATAATGTTTTCAAAATTATAATTAATTATTTAACAATTATTAATGTTTGTGTATTATATTGTTTGAAGATTTGGATATTTGAGGTTTTTCTCAGCATGCAGACATATACAATCAAAAATTCAAATGATATTTTAGGGCTATTTCCTGGAGGAGGATCCGGTTGTTGGATTGGGAAGAGTTACTACCATATATGACGTTGAATGATGTAAGTTAACACAAATATTACCATATATAAACAAGTTATTACTAGTAGACTTTTAGCTTTGTTTGAGCTTTTATATTGTTATGAGGCCAACTATCTATTACAGAGGCTGACACCCACAGAGGCTGAGTTTGCCACTGATTGGTTGCAAGCTAGTAAGCATTTTTTTGATGGCACGGATGATGAGAAGCCCCCACTTCGAGAGCCATCACCTCACCCAGAGTCATCACCTGATCGAGCCGATTATATACCTCCACAACGAGAGCCATCACTTATTTCGTCACATCATCGAGCATCTTCTCCACCATCACCTCATGATAGGCGACCGACAAAGATGCCACGACATTTATCTCCCTGTTCTCCACCTCCACGGGATGAGTTAGGGGAGTTACGTGATGAGGTCAATGCTTTGCGTGAGGAGGTCGGTACTTTACGTGAAGACAATGGTGTATGGCGTGATGAGGTACGGTCTTTACGTGGTGAGGTAGAGGTTTTACGCGATGACAATGGTGCTTTACGTGGTAAGGTATATACTTTACGTGATGAGGTAGCCGCTCTACGTGAGATTGTTACATCGTTGCAGAATGAGGTAAGTTTGTTTAATATTATACTAAAAATGCAAATAACCTTTTTTCGACATTATTTATTTGTTTATTTACTGATTTATGTATTAATTTATTTTTAGCGGCCTGATAAGGTAGATGTTTTATGTCGAGTTTTTCTTGCACGACGGGGTTCACGCATCAGACGTCGTACACGTGCCATTACATCTCCGTTCACTCTAATAGTGCCAAAACTCCGTAAGAAGAAGCCTGATTCACCTGTCATCGTTCAAGAGGCCTCTCCTATCGTTCAAGAGGCCCCTATCATCCTTCAAGAGGCCCCTCCCACCGTTCAAGAGGCCCCTGTCATCGTTCAAGAGGCCCCTGTCATCGTTCAAGAGGTCTCTCCCACCGTTCGAGATCCCGATTCACATGGCATAATATGTCAACATATTGATAAACCCCCTCACGTGCCCAACATGATGGATGAGAGTTGGCTTTCGAATGAGTTACTAGTCAGTACCATTCCGGTATCTGAAGTGGAGAGGAGAACACTACCGGACACAATTCTGGATAATACCCTTTGGGCTAAGACCGCAATTGATTTTTATCTACATGAGCGAAGCCAGGGGTGTTACGCTAACATATGCAAACTCGACGATGATATGCATTTGTTTCTTGATCGATCTTGGTGGGGTGTGTTATTAGGGGTTGAAGACAATGGCTATTTCGACGGGGGGTAAGTCTTATATTCTTTTTATATTGCATTTTGATTAATTTTTTTTAAATTTATGAAATTCACTAAATTGTTTTTATAAAACAACATATTGATGCATGGGTGTCACGTCTTCTGATAATAAGGAAATTGAAGAAAATAAAAAATACGCGATGAACTATTATGCCGACGTCTTTTCACGTAGCTCACTTGAATGATCAGATAGATACTTTATATGTGTTGGGTAATGGAAAAGCTAAACTTTATCCTGTATGGTGGGAGGTTGATAAGGTTAGTATTTATTTTTGAATATTTTAAAGGTGTTCATAAATAAAAATTTGATGTGCGCAATTGAATTATTATTTATGATTGCATGTGTTTATCCCTGTTTTGGAACGTCGTCATTGGCTTCTCGTCGAGCTTCAGCTCCCATCCCTGAAGACAATGGTATATGACATCATGTTAAATTACATACCATTGTCTGATTTGAGAGATATTATTTATAAGGGATGGAATGCTCATTTGGCTAAATACATGGAAGTGATTGATTATTGGACTAATTCTGGAAACAAGAAGCCAAATAAGTTCAAAGTTACAATGATCAGAGACGAGACCGCACCACAACAAACACAAGGAGCCAGAGGGGATTGTGGTCCTCTTGTATGCATGTGCTTGGAACGTTTGACGACAAGAAGTAAACAATTTCTACCTCCCACAGATAGAGATAGAGGTACAGTAGGTTTGTGGTTTTGGCATTTTATGGCTAGAGCGATATATGCGAGACGCTGCCTACCTGCATCCGCGTGCTGAAAGTGTGCATAAACAATTGGTAAGTTTGAGCAAGCGTTGTTAACATATATACTCTTTGTTGGTTTAAAAATGTTTGGTTAAGTTCCTAGAATTCAATAATTTGCTGTTTGTTGGTTTTAAATGTGCATAAACAACTGTTTGCGTGAAATTGATGTATTTGTAAAAGTTGATTTGTAAAAGTTGATTTGTTTAATTGATGAGGAAATAAGAATTATTTTTTGATTGTTTAATTGATTTGTAAAAGTTGATTTGTTTAAATGATGTGTAAATAATTCTTATTTTTTGCTTGTTTAATTGATTTGTAAAAGTTGATTTGTTGTTTTAAATTTCAATCTGCATTATGTTGAAGGCAAAAAATACCTGTTGAAGGTACAAATTTGCAACGTGAAAGTCAAATTCACAATGCGAAAGTCAAATTCGCAACGCGAAAATCGTAACACAAATTTGACTTTCGCAACAAAAAATAAGTGATAACAACTGAACAAATCATAGCAATGTTCAAACTCAAGTTACTAATGAATGTCTAACTGAAATGTATGCATTCACACATAAAATACACATAATACAACGTTTGCTTTTAAAAATCACCTAAGTTAATAAGTCCCAAAAGGTGAAACCGGTTGTGATTGGGATTTTGATTTCCTTTTGCTTGGCACCATATGAGCTTTGGATTTTGATGAGGATCCATATTTTGGTAGAGGAAAAGATGATTGTGATGACACTGGTGATCCACAGGTCAACCTTGTATGAACACTTTCCTTGTACCGACTACATGTCGATATCCTCTTCTCTTCACCCTTATACGGTATACGATCGTGATTTTTTGGTCGGCTAGGTAGCCTGCTATCCATGACTGGTGACAAAACTGTTTGTAAGTCATCTGGTATGTCCCACTCAGAAGGATGTGGAATAGGGTCAACAATCTCGGTATAAGTCTGTCGATATACTTCTGTAGTGTAACAATCCATAGCGTATGCGCTTGAATCATCTTGGTTTAGATGAAGAGCAACTTTTATAACATGGCCACACGGATAACCAGATGTTTGTCATTTCAAACAACTACACGTCTTTGCATTTAGATCGACAAGCTCATTTAAGTTATTATCCAATACTTCAAACAAAGTGTTTGAACATGGTTCAACTCTCCGTGACATTGACTTCATAACACATTTCGTTATATTTTTTTAGTCCATGGTGTAACTCGACGTTCCAATGTTCCTGTAAATATAAATAAATAATACTTAGTAAAATATATGATAAGTTATGAATTTAAAGAAATAATACATGCATGGTTTCTTTTCTTGTAGTACTACTGTTGAATAGAGGCTCGAAAAAACTCCATTAACATAGTAATGGGTAATTTCTGGGAATGACGACTTAGAGCGTTGATTGATTCTGCACTATTAGACGTCATGAAACCATATCTTGCTCCAAGTTGGTGTACTCTTGACCATCTTTCAAACCCGACATCTTATAGTGTTTGAGCACATTGAGGCAAAACACGTCTTAAACAATTAATATGCTTATTAAAATCCACTTCCCGATAAGCTTTTACAGTCTTCCGGTATGTCCATTTGTAATTTTTTATACCAGCATACCTTGATTTTAGATTTATGTACAAATGAACACCACAAAGTCCATGAAAAGCATCTGGGAAACGCCTTCTAACAGTGCTGTCAATTGAGTTTGCCCTATCGGATATGATTGTCAGATTGCTAATAGGACCTATGTAATCCCTAAGATGCCCCATAAACCATATCCATGAATCAGATGTTTCAGTTTTGTCAACCCCGTAAGCTATTAGCAGTATCCCATTGTTAGCATCCATGGCTACTTCTAATAAGTTTACTCCAAGGTATCGACCTTTCAAATGTGTTTTGTCAACTATAATAACTAGGCGCATGCAAGTAATAAACGAATGAATCTACAAAATAATATACACAAGACATAATCATTTAAATGTGAAATTCATGTAACTAACAAAAA